TGTGAGTCATTATTTTTAATATTTTTAATTAATTGTTTATTTTTTTTATTTTAAAAATTTTAATGGAAGAAATACAACTTCTAGGCAAAGATTACAAAACAGTTGTAGCAATTGTCGAACAAATCACAAAATCCCCTTCGAGTGGGATATAAAAAGACTACTTCAGAAATAAACAATATACACAGTCTTTATTGGACAAAACATCACAATAATTGCACTTTTAGAAGAAGTTTATAGAAAGTTAACATGTTTAATTGATTTAAACAAAAATACAAATAAGTCAAAAGATTAATTGGTGGAATGTATCCTTACTTGGTGGAATTTATTCCTACCAGGATCAACAAAAGATTAATTGAAGAATTATTCTTTTTAGGATTCATGAAAAGAATAATCATTTTTAGAAACGTAGTGATAGAACCATTTTTCGGTACAAAAATTAATTACTGGATAAATGTGTTCTTTCAGTGTGACTATAGTGAAGAATATTTCATTGAGATATTCTTTCACACCCCCACAACACAAAAGGTGAATACAGTCCAGCAAAACATCACTTGTTTCTGGATTCTGAGTCATTCACTAACATCTTCTTCAATGATAAACTCCAAAAAATTGATCATAATAACTCTTCCTTCACTTCAAGAAGGTATGATCAATTCCAAGAAGAAGATATTAGAAAGGAGTTGTTAGCTGAAACTACCACAACCAGTCTTTGGGTAAGACTTGACAAAACTTCTTATCTACGGCAAAATAATACAAGACCTGCCTCTTCTCAACCCATGAGTCTTGTAGAAAATGATGAAGATGGCTTGGAAGATTTCTAGGGGCATCTCATGACATAAACACTTATAGCAATATCAAAAGATGACAAATGTTAATGACAGATAATGATATCTTGCTACCTTGTCAAGGTTCTTCTATCATTACACGTTGTTAGGCCCTTTAAGTCTTGCGTGTTAACGATAGGAAGATTGAATCAATATTTTGATAACAAATTAGTAGAAATATTTCTACCAAAATAATAATAATAATAATAATAATAATAAATTGTCTTTTAGTGTCGGTAAAATAGCGAGAACAAATTGGTAGAAATCCCTCTACCAAACAAAAAAAATTACTATTCAATTTTGTCTTTAGCATCGGTAGAATAACCTTCATAAAATCCTTTACTTTTGAATTTTTAAAGACCCATATGTTTAGATGTGGGTCCCATATTTGTGACTTTATATTAAATTGTTTAATAATATTTCACAAACCTTAAGCCCATTGAATAACTTTGTAAACCATCAGGTTCTAGTTGATATCTATGAGATTGAAAATCATTTGATCCAACATTCGTATTTACTAACCCTAAAGTGGATAAGAGTTCTGAGACTATGAATACATCATCCAATGTATCATCATCTTTTTTATTTAGATACAAATTATCTAAAAATATATCTATGATATCGTCCATTCCATCAATTTGGACATTTTCATTTGTTTGGGAAAAAGAATTTGTAGTGGAATCTAAAGTTCCTTGTCTGAACATAGCTATAACAGCCTAATGATGATTTCATTCCTCATCAGTCATGTCATCATCTTCGTTTTCATCATATTCTACGATATTCATCATAAAAATGTTTTCGTTATCAGGAATAGCAGAAGTGTTATGCCTGTTTTCCACTGGTCTATCTTGTTCTAGGTCTAATCATGGTATATTTCTATAGTATGTAAAACTTAGATTGAGTTCTCTAGATCTGTTATGCAAAATAGCAGATGAGGGGACAATAATGGGATTATTTTCTTCCCTTGGCAAGTGTGTTTGCCACAAGTGTCCTTCATTTCTTCTTGTGAAGGCTTGGGCTGGTAAAAATTGTGTATCATGAGAGCTGATAGTTTCCTCTAATGGTCTTGTGTGTATCCTATACATGGAAGAAATATGGTTACTAATTCTTCCTATGAAGGTAATGTCTAAGTGTAGATTTTTGCCCATCCAATTGGGACAAAACCTATTGTTTGTACTTCTAGACTTATTTGATTAATAAAATCTGGAAGTGTCATTGTAAAATTTGGTGCAAGGTATATCAATGAAAAATGTTGATTTAAATCTACCTTTAGAATACCTATCACACTTTGTGAATCATTATTTTGAAATCTGGAATCATGCAGAACTATCAAAGCTCTGGCTCCGATCATATGCCTAGCTAAGGATCTAACTCCAATGGTAATCAATCCCATATGGACATATCTTCCTTGCTGGTTTAGTAATTGCCTACCAGTTTATTGAGATATTAAAGAAATTATCTCGTATGTGTTGTATGGAAGATGAAAATCTTCTATTCTTCTATATCGGTAAAGGCTAGTCCTTTCAGAACTTAACCAACCAATATTGTATAACTGTCTAGGGTTTAATGAATCTATCCTTGAATTTGATTCTATTTCAATATTTTGTTGTATATCTACTAAGTCTTCTAGTCTCCTGACATTAGTAGTTCTTTGTCTATTTAGAAATCTATCTAAAATTCCTAGATGTTGTATTAGGTTTTGACTCCTAGTTTGATGTTCCTTTAATCTTCTGGGGATTTCGGGAAATCTTTGTGTTTGATCATAATCTGTTTTATTATTCATATCAATATTTTCTAATTGTGTTTGTTTAAAGTTATTAGGTCGTGTAAACATTTGACTTATTTGTATTTTTGTTTAAATCAATTAAACATGTTAACTTTCTAGAAACTTCTTCTAAAAGTGCAATTATTGTGTTATTTTGTCCAATAAGGGTTGTGTGTGTATTGTCTACTTTTGAAGTAGGCTTTTTATATCTCACTAGAGGAAATTTTGTGATTTATTCGACAGTTGTTAGAGCTGTTTTGTAGTCTTTGTCTAAAAAAAGTTGTATTCCTTCCATTAAAATTTTTAAAATTATAAAAAATGTAAAAAAAGGTTGAATATCGGAGGGTGAACAAAAAGTATAACAACAAATAAGTCGAGGAGAATAAGAAAATCCACAACTGTAAAGTAATATTTATAAAAGAGTATAGATAATCATAAAAAAAAATTATTATTTTTTAATTAATTTTATATGCTATCGAAGCAGTGTTTTAAAAGTCTATAATTTATTTAAAGCATATTTTCTTTTAAGTAATGTTATTCAAATAAACAAATGCACAATTTTTATAACTGATGTCAAAACATTTATTTAAGTTGTAATTTTTATTAAAAAAAACATTTCCTAACTTAAAACCATGTTTATAATCATAAGCTATGATGAGTAACGTAAATATTTTATTTATTTTTAAATAAAGTTTGTATGTACTCTTCTAGTTAATAATCCATGGTTAATCATACTTAAAAAAAATTACTTCATAGTTAATACAAAAGTTTTTTACGTAGAAATATAGTAATTATAAGAAACTTTACGAAGTAATATAATGGATTCCTATTTTGATTTTTAAATATAGTTTTGATCAGAGTACTATAATAATATTTTCATGAAAAAATGAAATAAAGAAAAAAAATGTTTTTAATTTTTTTTATCTCTTTTTTCAAACTTATTTTTTGTTTTTATAATTTTACAATGATGAATTAGGTCCTCTAATTTTTGAAAATATATATTTTAGTCATTATTTATATTTAAAACTGATAATTAATGATGATTTTTTAATAAAAATATAATAAATTCTAAAATAGTACCATAAATGATACACCATTGTATTGTTTTAGTTGCTATTCCCCACGATGATTAATTCACAAGAAGGAAAATTTCTTGTTTAATTCACAGGATGGAAACTTTCTTTTAAAATTTGTTCGAATATTTAAATGAGTTTAAATTGGAATATTCTACAGAATTTAGGATAACTAATTTTTAAATATAATAATTATAATGTCAAAATTTTGAAATTAATTTTATTTTGGCGACTTAATTAAAAAATACTTTTATTTTTTTTCAAGTTTAGAAATAACCATTAATCTGATATAAGAAAGATGAAAGTAAATAAATATGTGAGTTTTTTTCGAATTGGGGTCGGACCTACCTAATTTTTCTACTGGGCCTGTCAAACTTTGTAAGGCCGCAGAGCCTATTTTCTCATCCTACCAATGTGAGAAGATAAGGGGATTAAAAGTACTTTTTTTTTTTAAGATTAAAAAATGAAAAAGCCCAAATAGTTTGAAATGGACCAACTAACAATCGACCCATAAAACTAAAACCCAAAGCTAAGGCATGATAGATTGATTGATTCAGGGCTTGGTTGACGGTAGCCTCCTGCTACGGTGGCAGAGATCGAAGTCGGTTACGCTGGTTTTATGTTTGTTTTGGGTGTGTCGATGGTTGGAGCAGACCAGTGGACAAACCAAGTGGTTGCTGTTCTCTGTCTTGTCTTTCTGTTTATCAAATGATATGAAACAATGGGCATCAACCACCAATTCGTATCCTGCTGAGGCATTAATTCTTACATTTTTTCCACTTTGTAATGACCCACTTGGTTTCTGAGATTTTGTTTCACTTTTTTTCATAGTTTCTAGTGATGAAAGTACCCGTTGCTTATGTTAACTTTCGAACTTTAATTGGGTTTCTGCCGTTGTTGATGTTGTTAGACTTTTTTCTTTCTTTGTTATCAATGCTTGTAGTTTGTCAGAAGTACTTAAGGAATGATGCCAAAGCAAGTTTTCATGTATGAGTCACTAGTTACATGTAAAGCTTCATTAAGGCGAATATTATATTTTTTTTCTGGAGATATTTTATCTACTTAGAAACGTAATAATTCTGAATTTTCAATTTTATTTTTGGTTGTCTCGATGATGCACTTCCAAAACTCCTCGTGTTTGTTTTTACCAGACTCATCGTGTTTAACCTTCTAGTTTGAACAATGCTTATTCTATCCTGTGAGCTAACTCTGCTTTGTTTTTAATGTTTTAGTGTAACATTTGTTATGCATGTTGTTTAACAACTGAGACTATGATTATGCAGGTTTTTATTGAATTCATTCCGAACTTCAGCTTCACAAAATTGCTAATAGTTGAAGATGCTTGCAATAAGAAAGCTCAAAACAGGACCTGATATCCCCTTGGTTTTAAGTGTCATTGTTGCTAATTGCAATTATAGAACAGGCCAAGTTTCTAGTGACAAAAGTGTCCAGTATATTGTTAAGTCTGCTATCTCTTCGTTAGCTAAGTCAAGTTCATCAGCATTTCTTCGGGGACCAGAGAATAAATTTACTCTTCAAGGACTATGTTTCTCTAGTGTGGCTGAAAGAATCCTGGTCCAGGCTCAAGACCCAGCCAAAGTTAGTTTGGAGATACAAAATGCTATTGATTCGAATCAATTAGATTGTTCGTGGAAATTATTGGAGCAGCATATGCATATGGAGGGGTTTCCCAGAAAATCTGTCATCAGCAAGCTTGTAACAAGTTATGTGGATAGCCTTGATACAAAACTGCTGGGAAAAGCTTATGAATTAGTAGAACGTGCTATTGAGGAAGGTAAACAGGATTTGTTAGAAAAGGATGTGCTTATCTACCTTACCTTTGGCCTTGCAAAAGCCAGACTACCAGTTCCAGCATCAACCATTTTAAGAAAAATGATAGATATGGAGCATTTTCCCCCAGCCACTGCTTGGTCTGCAGTTTTAGCACACATGTCGCAAACAGCAGAAGGAAGTTATCTTGCTTCTGAGTTGATTCTTGAAATAGGTTATTTGTTCCAGAACAATAGAGTAGATCCGCGTAAAAAGAGCAATGCACCTTTGATAGCCATGAAACCAAACACTACTGCTTTTAGCATTGCTTTGGCACGGTGCCTCCTTTTCGAGTCATCTAGGAAGGCGGAACAACTTCTTGATATGATGCCTCGAATTGGTGTCAAAGCAGATGCACACTTACTGATAATAATGGCTCGTGTATTCGAGAGAAATGGGAGAAGGGAAGAGCTCAAGAAGCTGCAAAGGCACATAGAGGAAGCCCCAAATCTAACTGATTTACAGTTCCGACAGTTCTATAATTGTTTGTTGACATGCCATTTGAAATTTGGCGATCTAGAATCTGCATCAAATATGGTTTTGGAAATGCTTAGGAAAGCAAAGGAAGCAAGAAATTCTCTTTCAGCTGCCAAATTTATGATAAATGCTGATGGCATTGATCATAACCATTCTCCTGGACTGGCTTCTGTGCAAAGTTTGAATAACAATAAGGATTTAGATAGTTTACAATATAACAGGTCATGTACAAGTGCTGTACTATCTTATGAGGAGTTCTCTAAAGATAGAAACTTCTCAAAGCTAGAAGCAGAGTCAAAGGCTATACTTGGTTCTTTATTAGCTAAGTTGCAGATGCAGGTGGACTTGATTACAACCAAGCATGGGATATTGCAGCCAACTGAAACAATTTATGTAAAATTAGTTAAAGCTTTACTAGAAGCTGGCAAGACCAAGGATTTAGTTGCGTTTCTCCTCAAGGCAGAAAGAGAAGATTCTCCATTTTCCAATGACAATTCAGTTTTGGTTCATGTTATGAACACATGCATCTCACTTGGATGGCTGGATCAAGCACACGATCTCCTGGATGAGATGCGTCTGGCCGGAGTTAGAACTGGTTCATCTGTATACTCCTCTCTTTTGAAAGCATATTGCCGAGCGAATAGGGCTGCAGATGTCACATCGCTTCTGAGAGATGCTAGGATAGCTGGTATCCAGCTTGACTCAAGTTCATATGAGGCAATGATCCAATCCAGGGTGCTCCAGCAAGACACAAAGGGTGCACTCCAACTATTTAAAGAAAGGAAAGAGGCTAGAATTCCAAGAGTCACTCAACGAAACTTTGACATGATGGATAATGATGGAGCAGAGACTGATGAAGCTGGACTGATGACCAAGCTTTTGCAGGAAATCAAGGAAGGGCAGAGAGTGGATTGTGGAGTACATGACTGGAATAATGTAATCCACTTCTTTTGCAAGAAGAGACTGATGCAAGATGCAGAAAAGGCTCTAAAGAAGATGAGAAGCTTAGGCCACTCGCCAAATGCGCAAACTTTCCATTCTATGGTCACAGGGTATGCTGCCACTGGAGGGAAATATCAAGAGGTGACAGAGCTATGGGGAGAGATGAAAGCTTCTTCTATCTCCATGACGTTTGATCAGGAACTTCTTGATTCTGTGTTGTATACGTTTGTAAGGGGTGGATTCTTTGTTCGAGCCATTGAAGTTGTGTCCGTGATGGAAAAAGGAAACATGTTTGTTGACAAGTACAAGTACCGAATGCTATTCTTGAAATACCATAAATCACTTTACAAAGGGAAGGCTCCGAAATTTCAGACAGAATCCCAACTAAACAAAAGGGAAGCAGGCCTGGCTTTTAAAAGGTGGATAGGCTTGACTTAAGGAAAGTGTCAACCAAACCAAAGCATTAGCTGCAAATTTCAAAATTCAAACCATCATCATAACTACAGGCTGTTTAACTTATGTTCACTCTCCTCATTTACAGGGTTAACACCAATGTACCACCAATGTTCATAAACCAACATATTTTATGTAAAATAATGAAGTTATATATATCTTCAGTTCCATCATTTTTAGGCAACAAATCGAAGATGTTGTCTTACATGCTTTCATGCATACATGGCTGTTAGTCCATGGAATATTTGTTGATGTATTTTGTCAACGAGGCAAACACATTCTCAGCTGAGAACATTGTTATTTGTGGATTCTGATTTCTGAGACACCAGAGTCGTGACAGAAGCAATAAAATGTAAAGGATTTGCGTTATTGTTGTACATGCAGGGCTCAGCAATACAACGTAAACTGGATGATAAAATTAATAACAAGAGCAGGGTTGGAAAAACAAGGCGTTTTCCTGCACCGCGCTGGTATGCATCAAGAAATGGGCCATAGGAAGGTAAGTTACCGAACATCAATCTTACTCCAACGATGATATCACTTGCTGAAACATGCACTTACAATTTGCACAACAATATTGTAGAAAGACTAATGTTATTTTAACATCAATTTTCAACAATAATTTCTTTACAATTTATACTTCTCTGCATTTATTCCACTCATATTAGGTATCTTATCTCATGTTTTTTCTTTTGTTACATTTTTCTAATTGTTGTAAAAAAGTGTTGAGTGGAGTATCTAATTAGAAAAAGTAGGAAATATCTATATTTATCTCTCTCTCTCTCTCTCTCTCTCTCATATATATATATATATATATATATATATATAAATAAATATATATGATGGGGAGAGTGTAGATACAGTAAAATTATAACAAACTGAGATATGCGTGCACTTGAAATACAGTAAATCATACACTTATTTATGAAATAAACTCATTCTCAATTTTAAGTTATTTCAATTAATCAAGGTGAGGCAATACTGCAAGAAAAAGGAAAAAAGTAGCGATCCAAAACACTTTTTCTTTATCTTTTGTTAATTATTTCTTATTGAAGGTGTTGCCTCTTTAAACTGTAGTCATTAAGATGCTTCTCATGTGCTTATTTGACGAACACAAACAAACTAGCAAGATCTGAAATGACGTAAAAGCAAGCTTAATTAATATTAGCTGCAAAACAAAGTCCAATAATTGTGCAATTACCAAGAATAACGAACTTAGTATATGTTTGGGAATAGCTTCTCTATATTCTTTTCGCCTCAATTGAAATTCATGATAAAGTTAGCATGTGTACCTTCATTCCAAAATCAATTGGGATAATTTCTGTAACAAGTTAAAACGCTAGTATAATAAATAAATGCCAGTGGTTTATAAAAAGTAAAACATATGTTTAGTCTAAAGAGACCCTCTTTCAGTATGAGAAAAATGCACATAAACTAATGAAATGCTTGATTGTATTAACTTAAAACAAGGGTATATGGATTGAGCATCAAATTCATTGGTGGTTTTGTCCTACAAAACACTAGTCTACTTGAGCATTTATTGGGAAGGTTAGTGGAAGTTGCATCCGTGATGGTGGTCCACATTTTAGATTTTGACAACTTAGACGTAAGTCATTATTGGGGTCAGAAAATTTCTTCTCTGAAAGGATCAACCAGTCGAGCAAAAGTACACTTTGCTACGTACATTTTTTTTTTTCTCTTACATGTCTAAAACAATTCTGTCATTCTTTAACGGATTAACTTTTTATATATTTATCACCAGAAATTCTAAACCAGACGATGCAAGAAGGACAGCAAGTTTTTGCTTTTGGTGTAACAAATTAATACACAACATCATTCTTGTTAACATTATGTGAATAGAACTTATTCCTTTAAGAAATAAACATTGACTGAAACTGAACAAATGTTGCTCAAAGAAACATGCCTGAATCAGAATGTAACAAAAGGAAAAAGATGTTAGAATTGCGTACAAATAATGGCTTAGTGGTAAAAGCCAATAAAGTAGTATAAGTAGTGTAGTTCCCTTTTCCTTTTCTTGCATCTTGTTATGAAAAACAAAAACGTAATTTTACTCGCTAGCTTCAATGATTTTCATTGAAGCTTTCTATAAGAATATAGTAGGATGGTACAAATATTCCCTTGGTTTATCACAACTGTGTTAAAGAATAAGTCAAACGCCTAGTTCGAATCTTCAAATCCTGCAAAAACAAAGGCAAGAAAATTAGTCAAGTTAAACTACTACTTCATACTTGTTACTCCACGCATGAGTTAATTTTAGTAAAGCTATCTTTTTTATTTTTATGGTGAAAGTGGGTATCTCCTGACCAACAGTCAGATACTAATTCTTCGATGTACTTAGTAACTGACCTCTCTTTCACGAGGATTGAGAATAGATGGGTATATTTTGACCCACACAGCCATTATTCGACCAATAAGGTTGTGAGCCGCAAATATCCTTCGTTAGTGCAAGCCCACAAACTCTCCAGCTGCAACAATGATGTATGGAGAAGGTTAGCAGTTATAGAAGGAAAAAAATATGGAGAAACTGAGAAAAGGAAAGAGAGGCAAAGGACAACCTTGTTTGGGAGTGTGAGGGTAAATGTCTCGATCATCATTTTGGCTGGCAATTCCTCACAGTATTGCCTACCTAAAAGAGTAGGGGCCCCAAGTCAAGGATAGGATAAGGCTTGCATGACATCTCAACCAGAAACTTTATTAGGAAGAACGACATGGTCAAATCCATTGCTATCAAAAAATCTCTGAAATATTTATGGCATCAACTTCTTCACATTAAAATTAATAACCAAGAACTGACAATATAAGTACCTATTCCTTGAAATGGATCTTGTGGTTATAATTGTGTATTTGTTTGGTGAAATCAAGTGTGGTCATTTAACAATTAACTAATACAAAGACCAGTTAGAAGTACAGATACTGTGAAAATTGGACCTTGGCCTTCATTAAATTTTGAATTATAGGAAATACAAAATTAATAGAAAAGCGGAGTTTGGCTTTTTGTAAGCTAAATTCTAAGGGATGATCGAGCAAGGTAAATAATATTTATTGGAATTTTATTGTTAGGAGAATTACCTTGCATGGTAGACCTTCAGTTCCCTCAAAATAATCAAGTTGATCTCATGGAATAAGAATTATTGGAAGTCATCAAAAGTAATTCAAATCAGAGTAGCCGTAACCATGTGAATGTGGGAACAACTCTTCTACTTCAATCCTGGAACTGGAGCTTTTCTTTATTTGGTTGCAGCTAATAGACTCAACCTCTGCCAAGAATATGCTATAAACTGGCCTATGATCAGAAAATCTTGACTCCCCACGAACATATGATAATTGGTGAAGGCCCCTTCCATACCACAAGATACGATCACACCTTCATGAATAGAGATTTGGTTAATATGCATTAATAATGATATAATTTCACAAGAATGATTCTGAACACTTCATTCGTAATAATAGTATCCATTCACACAAGAAGTTATTTGCAAGAAAGAAGACTACCATGCTGGAGTTCTTCTCTTTTGTTTTGAGCGCCTGTCATCACCTGCATATCTGTCTGAATTGTTTGAATACTTATATGTTGGAGGGAAATATATTTTCCCTTCATTCCATCCTTCAAATACTCGACCTTGCCTTTGTTCTATACACAGCTGAAAGAAAAAGATATGAAACGATCAGGTATATCTAACATGAGAAAGGACCAAAGATCAATCAGAATTACTTGTAAAGAGACAAAATAGTAACATGCCTGGTCATTCTCTAACAAAGTCTTCCAATCATGCATCTCAACAAGAGCTTTTGCTGCACGGTAAGAAAGGGCTATCCGATAATTTAAATCCCCCAGCCAAATTATTCGACTACACCAGTTAAACCAAAAGTTTAGTTTTTAACTAGGACACAAGTAAGCACTTAGTAGTGAGTTTCATTTACATTTACAATCTCCAAGTATGAGATGCATGGTATAGATCAGGAGTAGAGAGGAGGGGCTTACTCATGTTCCAGAATTGTCTGAGGAGAAGTTTCATCACCCATGTCATGGACTGGGGGAAACCTTGTCTTTCTGAGAATCTCCATTACATCTGAATTTCTCCTTAACTCATCACCATCCTTTTGTCCAGAAGTCAAATGACTACAAATGAAGCAAAAGCTTGTTTGGTGCAATGACATACTAATTGATATTGATCCCTGGAAAATCCAAGACAATGAAATTGTTTCCTTCCCTAGTCCATTCATTATAAACTCTGCTATTGAAATAGATTGTCAAATGTACCTTGTTTCCAAGATATCCCATTAACCCTCGGCCAACACAAGACACTTTCATGTTGTGAACATCATCTCTTATATCACTTTTCACCCAAACAGTTAGAAATACCCCAACCATTTGCTTACTGGCAACCAAGCAGTATCTTGAGTGGCCTGTCTGTCTATCACTATCCTCTGTAGAGAAACAACCGCCATATGACATAGGTGAATATTGTGTTGTAATTGGGGAGTCACCAGTGCCATTTTCTTCATCTGAGGAACCCCATCGATAATTGGGATCATAGTCACTCGCTCTGTGACCAAATATCACCCTATCACAGACACTGAATCGACGATCAAGGCAAGCTTGTTGCATTAACATATCATTTTCCATTCTCAAACTACGACTCAAGGATTGGAATGATCTTCGTTGAAAGAAAGAGGCAGCCTTCTGCCTCATTGATCCCTCAAAATCAGCATCTAGCTCTACAATAGGATCAGGGAGGGGTGAAGGAGTGTGGCATCCTCCACTTGTTCCAGGAAGATTGTTCAAGGTCCTCCTAATAAGGGCTAGCCATTTTCTTGCAGGACCATTGTCTTCTGTTCCCAAAACATTACCAGCATTAAGAGGTACAATTTCTTGAAACCTGAGGCCAGGGAAATGCAAAATATTTCAGTGTGCAAACTTTTGCACAAGTAAAGGAGATGAACATTCTATAGTCAGTAATTTACCCAAGAACATATATATCAGCAGGTGGAGAGGTGTGAAGCCAATCTTCAAGACTCAAATAACTTGGAGGTGACTTCCCTGCTACATTCCAAGTGGCAACAAAGATTCTGTATCCAAAAAGGGGCAAAAGAAGTTCAACAGAATAAAAAATATTAAATTTCATTGCAATAGTAACTGCCTGGATAATCAAGTGCAATACACAGTTGCATGAAGCATACCTATAGTTATACACATCAGTAACCTGAGCTTCATCAAGGTCATTCTTACCTCTTCTCACTCTGTCTGAGTACCATCTGCTTGATCTCTCTATTATAGAAAATGACATTAAACATATGCAATTGTTAGAACAAAAAAGACTATAAAAGAGAAAAAACGAACAAGAATAAGAAGAAATAGATTTCCAAATTACGGGTAAAAAATGTGATCTATATAAATATCTATATCGAGAACAGGGATTTGGAATGGTGTGGTCCTAAGAGAAAAGAAGGTGAAGAAGATATTGAACCTGATTTGCTTTTCCTCATGGTGCATGCCTCCCTCTCTGAGTAGTTGCTACTACACTCTTCATCAAGACCTGAAAAAGGAAAACAGTAAAGTTAACAAAGCTGTGCTCTTTTCAGGCATTTTATCATCCTACTCAATCAAACAAGGAAAAATAAAGCAGAATTATTTTTTATACCAAAGCGATAGAATTAGAAACCATGGAAGCAGGGAAACAACAAAGGGCAGATCTTGTGCTGCAAGTAGCATACGCATACCCATGGAAACAGACAAAATATTTTAAAATAACTGTTTAGAACACACAGACAAATTAGTTGAACTAGAAGCAGAAGTGACGCCCTTTTTGGTTTTAAAACAAAATATTTCCAATCAGAGAGCCCTATAATATAGATTGCGTCAAAGTGGGAAAATTGATGGATCACCATGGGAGAGAACATCATCTGCCTGAAAATCCTCAGCTTTGCTCTTGATATTGAACCACTTCTTGACCAATGTTTTGGGCCAAGAAAGCTTGAACAAGAAAAACAGGGTAAGCAATGCCAATCCCAGAAATCAAATGCAAATGAATTTCAAGAGAGCTGCCATTTCTCAAACCTTGCTCTTCTTCGAGTTCTCATCTCTCATTGTTGGGACAAAACTCACAACTTCATGTAGCTTTCTCTATTCACAGAAACAAAGGCACTGAATTAATGTTACACCATCTATTCCTTCTTTCAATCAACACTCCTTCCCTTCTAAGGTTTAGCTTACACAGCAAAATGGAGTGATTGAAAGTTAGAAGACAATTTTATATCCCGGGACAGGACAACCTTAATTTCTGTTGACTTTCACGTTTTGGTATATGTCTCTCATTCAAACAGATAAAAAAAAGGGAGGGAAAAATGTCTTTTGGTGATGAAAGCAATGTGATGAAGTTAAAGAACATGAAGAATCAAGAGATGATTAAGCGCTGCCCCAGTTGCAAAGTTTAAGGCTTTGAGGGGAGAGAGATGAAGAAGTGATGAGGAAGAAGAAGACAATGTAGAAGACATAGGGAGAAAGAGAGAGAGAGAAAGAGAGAGAATTGGAGGAACCTCGTTGAGGTACAGAGAGGAAAGCAACAAACTTGAAGAGAATAAAGAGAGTGAAGGAAGGTAAGTTGGGGTCTCTGTGGAGGAATTTCACTTACCGCAAATCCAAGGCCTACCTCACCCACCCAACCTTACACATACAACAAAACACAAACTGCAACTATGGTTGCTTGCTTATATATTGCTACAGCTCACATTCCTCCACACACTAAAATACTCGTTTCATCTACTATGCTATGTCCATAATCGTGTCACTCTTTAACACTGTTCAAATGCTTCAATACTTAAACTTCTGTGCATGTGGAATTTTCGATAAGGATTTCATAAGAATTTATAGAAAAAATATTTATTTTCATAAATTATTAAGTGATAATGTAATAATCTTTACCTTCTATTTAATAAATAACATTAATTACTTAATTTTATATTTAAAACGTTTAAATATGTTTAATATTATAAAACATATATTAATATAAAAATAATTAATTTATATATATATATATATATATATATATATATATATATATATATATATATATATATATATTGGACTCAATACACGTAAATGTTTGTAATTGTATCAAACAAATTATAAAATAGACATTAATTTTTAAACTTAGACATTTTAAAAATTAATATTAGTCAAAGCAAATTAACTCTAATTAATAATAATAATAATAATTAAAGTCGAAAATAACAACAATGATGTACTATTTATCTTTAAAAATGCATTCATACAAATGAATAAAGTTATTTTAATGTGAACATCGTGGATAACGGAGACACTGATAATCATAAACACATTTTTATGAATAGAAGAATATTTGCTAAACGAGTCATAAACACATCCTTATGAACGAAAAAATATTTGTCAAATAAATTTATGAGAGATTCATGCTTAAACACTGTAAAGTTGAAATCAAAATTAGAATGATAGAATATTGAAATGAAATCCTAATTAAATAGAAAGGAAATAAAAATTAAGACTTTATAGAAATCATATGCTCATATTGAAAGATGTAGTTTCCTTAGAGACAAGAGAGAAGACTATCAATAACTTAATCAGTTTCGTAAAATAGATATATAAATGCTTTAATCTAATTGAGTATAAACTTCTAAAACCGTCAATGAGTTAATCATAACGATGGCGTTGCACATAACTTATTGCGACTGAAAAATACCTAAGAGACTCGCACTGGAGTTGCTTCACTCAACAAAAAAATCGCCCCCCGCACAAAAAAGAGAAACATTAAAGGAGATATAAAATAAATTTTGTATCAATGATAACAAAAATTTGTTTCAATTTAAAATATGTTATCACATTTTTATTATGTTAAATATTTAATCATTAAAAGAAATAGTTGACATAAAAAATATATTTTACACTTATTACTCTAGGATACTTATAAAATTACTTGATACTTTATTTTAGAATAAAATTACAACTTAAACTATTGTGTTTTCGTATAGACTTAGTGAAATAATGAGTAATTAATTAGTAAATTAAAAACTTTAAATACTGACTAATTATATAAAAATAATAATCAAGTCATTAAAAGATTCATCAGACATTTGATTGCCACTATCTATATGAAAAAGTGTTTATTAGAAATAAAGAGAACTTAATATCTTTATAAATGTCTTAAAAAGGTGTATTAAAAATTAAAGTTTTAATTGGAATTCACATTAAAAATGATTAGAAATCACAATGCACTAATATCATTTTTAATGAAAATTTTATATTTTTATTCTTTAATTAATACTCAACATTTTTCATATCCTAGAAGGGGAAAAAAGAGTCTAATATCTGAAATTTCAAAGTATTCACCAAAATAGAGAAAACATAAATCATTCCCCCTCATTTTAATCCTTGCAAATCATATATCTCTCTATTTCCAAATATATCAAATGTAAATATGAACCATAGTATCACCACTTCAGTCTTAATTGTATAAGAGACTTTATATATTTAAATCTTTTATTTCATGAAGTAATTGGTGTTTTGCAAAATGTGAAAAAGTGAGAGTGTTAAATTTTCAGAAACTTGAATGAGGTTTACTTGAAAAAGTAAACCAACTCTTGTGCACAAGTGAAGACATTGGATTAGGAGTGAAGAATGTGCAGTAGGTTGAAACATTTTTGGTATCCAACCAGGAATGGTAGTTGTGGCAGGGACAATAAAGTAGGTTTGATCTTAATATCTAAGCATTGGTGACCCATCTTGCATTTGATCATGCAGGAGAAAGCAGTTAAAGAGGATAAAAGATAAAGAGCCATGTGGAGAGGATTGTTTTCCTCTTGTTCTTCCTTCTTTAACTTCTCTCCTTGTTTTCACATTGTCTTCAATACACACGACAAAAAATCATTTTTATTTTTCTCTTTTGTCCACCCAATTAATTTCTTATTTTTTGATTGGTAAATTCCCATCGAGGGTGGGTTTGAATCTACCTTGTTTGAAATAAAGCATCTCATATATCTTCTAAACATAGTGTTTGTGCCATAGTCGAAGAGAATGTTTCGTGTTTTAAGGAAAAGTGTAGAACTGCTTCTGTTTCCAATGCCACACCATACTTGTAATTTGACAAGTTTGTCACGAGTGAATATGATTAATTATTATTTTTTACACATAAATGTGATGTTGGGGTTGGCAAATTCAAAGAACTCATTGGTTCTGCAAGTTACATAACACTATGTCTCCTCAAAACCTTCATTTTATTGCTTTTTGAAATGAAATATTATTAAGCAAATTTTTGTGTTAACCTTGGATTCATCATGTCCAAGAAGACAAAAGGCAAATTTTCCAAATAATGGATCCGGTGTTGAGTACTTTTCATTCTGTTCAAGCTCGCACTTGCACATGGATTAGTGTTTATGCTTTGCATGAGGTGACGCATCCTTCATCATGGTATAATGCATGTTTATATTTCCATATTGAGATTTTTTTTATTTTTATTTTTTTGTAGTAACTACTTTAAACATTTGTCTAAAATGAATTCTAACTAGTTAATCTTTTACCATGTATAAGAATCCATGGAAAGTAAACTTCATATAAAATAATATCTCGGTAGCCATTGCGAGTTAAATCCTAACACAGTCTACAAATCATGTTCCTACTTAACCCACCCACGTGAAAATATGCGATTTCCTTGACCTAAGTGAAACCACGTATCTATAAAATCGTAGTTTATGAGTTCTCTTTTTTCAAAGACCTTTTGCAATTTTAATATGAACAAGGTCGTAAGTTTTGATGTTAGAAACTTAAAATGAAGAATTTATTTAAGAGGAGAGGTTGAAAGAACCCAAGATCAATGTTTGAGTTGGAATTTCAAATGAAGCATTGAACCCAACATAGTGACCCACTAGGTTGAGTGAAGCTTCCACTACCACCATATAAGCCTCACCTCTAATAGTGCATAGGTTGTCAAGGCCAAAACACCCTGTTTCCCTAACTATACGTGTCGTGTCCTGTCACCTTATCATATCATATGATTACACTTTCATAGTAAAATAAAGATAAACAGAGGGAATGTGTGGTTTTTTCATGAATATTGTGTATTTCATCCCTTTTTAAAGTGAAACACTTTGTATGTATTCACCCCTTCACTTGTTTTTTTTTTTTCTAATTTAAAAACTTTTTTCAAAGATAAAAAAAATAAATCAACAAATGCTATAAGGATAAAAAACTACACACGTTTTCATTTAGTCAATAATTAATGATACTTTACCACCCTATGACGACCATCTAGTCCAACGTAAAGATTCATATATTTGTGATTAAATTAAAAAAAATAAAACTTTTATATCTTCTTTACTGTGCATACACATATATATATATATATATACATATGTGGGTCAGATGTATGTATATACGAGGTTGTCTGTTCTAAAAATGTCAAACGAAAATAGGGTTTTATTTTTCTTCATGTAAATCATAGAAGGAATCATTGGCGAAAAATGAAGTTAGAAGTTAGAAGTCAAAAGATTTTTCATTTGGGAAATTGGAGTTCTTGAGCATTTGATAATGTTGGGTAAGAATGATCATGTATAGATATATATATATATATATATCTGAATCCGACAGGTGAAAGGTCATATTTTCTTCCTTTTTTTCAATGTTCCCCTCATAATGGTGGCAATGATGCTTAGAAGAAAGGGCAGTATCAAAATTAAATAGGAATGGGCCCAATGGATGGAATGAATAAGTAAAGGGGATAGCGTTTACCCTACAATTTGAATCTTCTAAATTGCCTAGGGAAAGGTTGCTTGCTGCCTAGTAGATACTACATTGTCAAGAAGATTGGGATTTATCGTCCACAATTATTGGATTCAATAATGAAATACAAGTATATCTGTTATCATTCATTAGGCTTCTTCATTCCCTCTCTTTTACTTCATCATTTTCTACAATAAATTTACATAACTCTCACTTCACTATTCTCCAGCTGTATATGTATGTTTATGTTCCACGTGAATCGTCTTAGAATCATTCGTGTTCGCAATACTATCTTTTTTACTTTCTAAACACATTCCCTTGTCTTTAAAGAACCATCAATTTCCCAAATTTTCCTTTTTTTTTTTGAGTTATTATAGGGCAAATAGAAACTATTGTTTGGTTTTTCCAAAACAAATGAGATTATTTATACATCACCCTTTTTTTCCATAATTTATTTTGGTTACGGTAGTTAAAATTTTATGTTAAATAAAAATAAAAAAAATTAAATTATATATAAATAATTATATTCAGATAAATTCATAAAATTCACGCCATCTTAAAAATAGAGATAAAAATAAATTTTATAGACGAGATTTTTCTGATACATCTTTTATTAACGAAACCGTTACGAAATAGAATTCAAAAAATTATATAACAATATTTTTATAAAGAACACGAGAGAGACGAAACAAAATATAATCGACATCAAAAGAAAAAATCTAACAAACAGTTGATATACAAGTATGTGTTTAATCTAATTAATGTTATGAGTATTTAATTTAAAATATTTTGTAAATGAAGGGAAATTACATAATTGTCAGAAAAAAAAAACTAAATTATGATAATTGATGGATTGTGGTGAAAGAGATAGAAAAAATGGGTGATAGATAAACGAGGTAGTCAAAAGATGATCTTTAATTGTACTTTAACTAAAGTGAGTTAGATCTAGAATAGGATGATGGAAGGGTGTCTCTTTCTATTTCTTTTGCTTTTGCAGCTTTGAAAAATCTATTGTTATTATCGTACTTTCCTTTTCTCCCTCACCCCTCTCAGCCCTTTGATACGAAGGTGTCAAATTAGGGTTTTGATTTTAATTTTTCTTTTGTCCTGTAGAATTTATTTTGCTGTCATTTTCCTCACAATCTGGCAATGGAGAGATGTAAGTGGTACTGTTGTACACTCGCACTTGGTGATATAGATAGATATTGATGTGTGCATCATGGCCATGCCTTTTACTTTCTCAACTACATTTTTATATATTTCTATTTCCTTACACTACAAATTATTAATGAGGACATGGACCATGGACCACCACCACACCTAAACTCATTTTAATTATTTTTAAATTTTCATAAACACCATAATATTTTTAAATTTTAAACATGTGTCTTCAATGCAATTTTAAATGTTTTATTTATTACAAAAATTAAGAGTGTATTCTTCCCTCATAAATTTCCTTTTAAAGGCCAATCAAAATTTGGACTTGTTATTGTACAATCATGGGGGACATTACATGAAGGGCCATTTATGAACAGCTTTTTTTTTATTTTTTTCCTTCTCTTAAATCTCAATGATTTATTTTATTTATCTTAAATCATGTTACATGGGACACTAGTTTTCTCTTTTTTCTTTTTATGCCAGACACACGTAAGATGATGGAACTCACAGCTTGTGTTAAATTTAACAAATTAGATTTTTTAATTTCATTATACTTTATATCACTCATAATATATATATTGTTTAAATAATAAAAACTTAAAAAACTCACATCTTTAAATCATTATTATATAAAAAATAACTCCTTATATAGGGAATTTTTTAAGAGAAAATAACTGCCTATTTTAATAATAAATTTAAAATAAATTATTTTAAAGCATAATAAATGTAAAAACGCCCAAAGTATAGATATGATTGCATTGTTGAAAATATAAACAACAAAACCAATTAGTTCAATATTAGTAAAATAAATATGAAAATAAAAAATGTTAGAAAATTGTGAACTTCACTTAATGAAAAATTTAAAGTTATATATGAACTAATGAAAATAGTGTTTGAATTGTAAAGTTTGTAAAGTTGGATGATCAAAATTTGTTATTCCAACTGGAAAGAATTTGGTTTTCTTGTCTATTTACTAAATATTGTAATTTCAAATATAACAATATTTACTAATCTTGTCTATTTGCAGTTTTAGTAAATTCAAGGATTGAAATTTAATGAAAAAAGGGTTTGAAGTAATAAAAAGTTATGTAAATATATCTTGAAATATTTTAAATTCGTTCCCTCTCCCTTTATTTTGAAATATATATTTTCCATTTATGTAACACTTTTAAATCCATCTTAATAAATGCGTTTTTAGAGATTTTTTTTACTGTGAGTGATTCTCTACCATGATTAGTAAATAGTTATTATCATTTTGGTAATTTGAAAAATGAAATAGAAGTTTTAAAATTATTACAAAAACAGATTTAATTGTTTTTATCTTTTAAAATTTTTCTATTTATTTTTTAATTCTTGATTTTTAGACCCTATTTTTTATTTATATATTTATAAACTGTCATTGAATTATATATATATATATATATATATATATATATATATATTGATATAATTTTAAGAAATCATTTAAAATATTTTAAAGATAATTTAAAATTGTCGCATAAGTAATGATAAAATACTAAGTAAAAAAAACTGTAAATATTTCGAGAAATAAAAGTAATTTTTTTATTAGAGACTAATATAAATCCATTATTTTTTCAGAAACTAAAAACATATTTTAATTATATAATATTTAAAAGTTTTTTTTATATTTTAAATACTAAAATTAATAATAAAACATTCAAAATTAGTTCACAGAAATAAAATATCATTAAAAAACAAAGATGATGTCTAGGGGGTGACATAAGGAAGTAATGATCACCCCTATTATTTTCAACTCTCTTTTAATTTTATATTAAATTATTTTATGGTCTCACAGGAAAAAAAAAATGTGCTGGTCCCTTTTAACACAATACAATGATAATTTAGAACAGTACTGTTCATTTTTTCTGATAAAATTACATCAACAATAATATAATAATCTAATCTTAGGAAGACTGAAAAGAAAAGTTGCATAGCCGTTGGTGTTGGAAGCAGCAAAGCATTGTGCAGAGTAAATGGAATACCAGAATGGGCCCAGCATTATTCAAGTGATAAAGCAGAACATTGCAGAGAAGCAAGCAGGGAAATCAGAAATGTATATTTTTTGGACCCTTTCAACTTTGAGGTTAGTGCCTCAGATAGAAGGCAAGGAAACCTCAGCATGAAGCTGTACAAGAACATCATATGGTTTGCCAAACTCTCCTTGAGGATACATAAGGAGCATTGGTGCTGTTAGAGTTACATAAATGTCTTGCAGTTTGTGTGAAAAGCTTAAACAAACAATTAAGACTGTTGTGTTGACTTCATAAGGCTGATATATTGATGGTGATGTTGATGTGAAGGTCTTTACCATGGGGTAGAAAACTGAGAAGGTTTTCTACCTAAACAGTTATTGTTATTTATGGTTTTGAGTAAGTTGAGACCATTTCCTCGTTTTCATAGAACCAGACAAAAGATATTTTCTCTGCAGTTTGCCATGCTTTACTAATATCATTTGCCAAGCTTTTTGCATCATCAGTGTCTTTAATTCCTGCCAGACCATACCCACGCATGCAACCCTTTCTTGCATGTTGGATCATCACATCATCACTAGTTAATTTATAGTTGTTCAAGGTACAATTTGGAAACTGTGCAGTGTACACAACATGATGGTTGCTTACTCCTATCAGAAAAATTCACAAATTAAATATACTCTTTACTGTTCATGAAGTTATAATGATATATTGCAGAGGATACACAATATTACACACCTAGTGAAGCTAGGAAAAGGACATGGTATGCATGACATTGAAACTCTGCCTGATTTGGAAACTGAGCTTCTAGGTAAAAAAATTTCACTTGCCTAAGATTAATATAAAGAAGGCTTCTTTCATTTGTTTATATTTTCTTTTTTTGGATCTTTGCTTTATCCTGTATTCACAGGACAAAGGAATGCACAATCTTGTATGCAAAACAGTGCTCTCAGTCCCAGGGCCATCCATGATGTTCTTGACTGTTCATATTTAACTTGTTCAATTCTTTTTCCCTTTTCCCTTTTCTCAGTGTGTACCATTCTAGTTTTATTTTGTGTTTTCATTCAGCATGTAACAATGTGATATAATTCTGCATGTTTCATACTGATGAGTCCCACGTTATTTTCATACACTAATAAGTTACACGTTATTTAGAATTAATATTTGGGATAATTTATATAAGTTCTCCTCACTTAATTCACGAAATATTTTTTTTAAAATAAAATCGTGACACATAAAAACTTCCAAACTAAAAAATAAATTACTCATCATAAAAACCAAATATTTGACTAGGATTAAACACCCCTCCCAACGTAACCACAGAATTAACTATCATTAATTATTTTATTTTGATATAAAAATTTAAATGCATGTCACTGAAAATTGGTCAGGATTGTGACAACCACCCTATAATAATTTCTGCAATTGAATTGAAGGCTCATAATTTGAATATCATAAACATGTGATGCTTTTTCATATCTTGTGTCATCAATCTTTCACAGAACTCAAGGCATCGGTGTGCAAAACCAGTTTCCTTCCATCCTTAGCCATCACTGTTTTTGGTCCAGCACAGCAGATTAGGTCTGTTAGCCTTACACTATTTATAAAAATTCTTGGGCTACATTTTTGGTACCACAACATTGGTCTTCAAAATGAATATGCATGATTTAACTTTCCCAACATGTTAACACAAGTTCTATTAATTAATAAGAACCTAAATTAAAAACGTGAAGCCTTTATGTAGTCAATTTTAACTAGTTTGGTGTGCATAAATATTTATACACGTGCACCATATATGAGTTCTTTATCACTATTTTCTAACCATTCAATATATTGCTTACATCAAACAGAGAGTAGACATTGTTATGTTGAACTATTTATCTCTTTTATTTTATGCAGCGGGGACAACTTAACTTCAAACTTTCACAGATTTTATGAACATATAATTTTTGGAAATGCAACATAGCAGAAGTTAACTTTCTTGGGTGGCATATTGAATGTTTTAAATACACCACCGTGGACTTAGCTGAGTGGGTATGATTTTGGTGGACAGTTTATAAACTTGATATGTTTCAATGGAGTGATGAATAGTTGTTGCTATTTATCAGTGTTAATTTGTAGTTATTTCTAGCTAGTTGTACATTGTACTGCAACTCATCTGTGTATTAAACTCATGGATTTTTTTTATTTTTTTTTCAAACCTGTTGCAGGACAATTGGGCACACGACAACAATAATAAATTACATTGATGTCGATAACTAGGATACGACAATATCTCTCTTTTTACTTCAATGTTATAAGGAAAATAATGCTGGAAAAAAAGAAATTCCAACAACTTCCCTCTTTCAATTGTCCTCTTTGTCAGACCACAAGTTGTGAAATGTGAAACTAAGTAGAAATAATAAAATATAAAAATTTATTTTGGTTCTTCTTTTTGTTTATATTATTTTATATTTGATTCGACCTCTCTATTTTAAAATATAAAAGTGTCGTTTGTCTTAATAGACACTAAGTTAATGAAATTAGACTTGATGTAGCATTGAATATTTAAAAAAAAAGAACTGGAGTGCCAAATTGACATTTTAAAATAGAGATTAAATTGAATAAAGATGTACAAAATAATTAATACATGTTTAATCTTTAAATGAGTATTTTTGTTTGTCTTTAAATTAGTATAGTTTCAATTATAAAAATAAGCAAGGAATCGTGTAAACAAACACTTAAACATACTCATGACAAACGACAAGTTTAGTAATTAGTAAATAGAAGAAAATTCAAATTAATCTAAATTGAAGAAAATAATAAATCAGTTTGATGAAAAGATATTTACATTAATAATTTGGTTCTTGTATTAGTTGCTGTAAATTTCCAGACATGTATTCAGTTCCTATGAATAAATGAAGTCTTTTTCAAAGTAGACATTCTAGAAATAGACGGACAACCTTAAATAGTGTAAATAAAAAGGAGGCAGAGAGTAATTTAACCTAAAAATATTAGGGCCAAACAAAAGCAACTATTTTTTAAGAGCAACATATTTTTCACTAGCAAATAGTTTCAAAATTTAACTTCATCGGCTATCCACGATCCATTTTATAAATCGCCAACCTAAACTCCTCACGATATGCATATTTCACATGCCAATTATTAAACATGTATTTTTCCAAAATCGAAGAAATAAGGAACACTGGCATCTTTCTCCTGGTTTTTATGTGCACAATATGCAGGTTGCTAGCTCCAAGGCCCAAGCATATTCCAAGTTGCATCAACCAATGTCTCATAATGGAAATCTTCATCAATTAGCCAAATCATGTTCATGGTCCTACCTTAGCCCAGAGTAGCAACATGATCCAATGTAGCTGCAACCTTGTTGACATGTAAATTAGATTGATTTGCGCATTGGCCCTCCTATCTGAACACAGGGTAGTCACTCTTTGCCATGAATGGCAGATTCACTGCTAGAGAGTACCCTGTATATCTTCCTTATAGTAGCTGGAGTCGTTCTGCAACAGCCACCTACAAGGGAAGCCCCTAGCTCACGCCATTTAGTAACATATGAGACAAAATCTTCATCTGTTACACCAGTATTTTGCTGCAAAAGAATAGCAACATAATATCGGTATACATAATTCAAAAAATAACCCAAACTATTTTCTTGAAGCTTGAACCTATAAGAGTATGCTTGAATATCAGTTATCACAAACGGAAAAGATTGTCTATGGGTTGAATCGAAAAGACCATTGAAATGTCTAGACGTAGATCCAAACACACTCTGATTAACTATCTCCGTCTCCATGCTGTATTTGGTTTCTCACCAAGATATGGATGTGTATGATATGAAGTACTTATCAACTTGAACACACCATCAAGTTTATAAACTTTTAAAATACAATAACATAGATAAAATAGCTCAAAACAGATAAATAACTGAAGGTTAGGTTAAGCATTAACTTTCACTTTTCTGCATTCATGTCTATATGGGTTCCATTAATTGATAATGATACTATGTAACATGCACCGTTTGCTGTTGTGTTCCAAGAATTATTGAAAAATGCGCAGGCTGAACATGATTAAATAATCGCTAATCTCTCTTTACTATCTCCAACATAGTTAATAAAATCATGTATTACTAGTACAAGAAATGGTTTAGTTCCACGAGAACAATAACCTTCCAAACATAAATTCACACATTAATTTCAAGATCACTGCAAATTTATCAACCACCCGTGTAAGATTACATGAGAAATCAGCTCAAAATTTAGTATGAAATTCAGAAAGTAACAACAGAAGGAAGATCCTGCTTTTAGCATCCAATTTTTACTTTAGGACTTAAATAACATTTTAGTATCAACAATATAGGGTTATTTATGTTCAGATCCTCTTAATTTTATTTCCGAGTATTGGTCCCTATGATTACTTTTGTTTTATTTTAGTCCATGACGTTATTGCTTCAGTTACAATATAATTGTAAATTTTTTATTAGTTCCTTATTCTGTGAAAAGTTTTCATTTTAGACACTGCTATATAGGAAACATTAAGTTATGTTATAATCTTTGTTAAGTCAAAACATCAATTAACAAGGACAAGAATAAAATAAACAAACATTTTCTAGAGACCAAAACAGGGAGAAAAATATATTAAAAGGATCAAAAAGAAAAATTTCGTTCCAAACCAGTACCATACCAGGCTACCACTTACACTTGGACTCGAACTTCATGTTTTCATTTTAGACTATAAATCAGATACACTAATCTGATAAGTAGTACAGTTCAAATAAAAATGACTAAAATGATTTCACCAAAAAAAGAAAAGAGAATAGGCACACGTCTATGTAATTTTACTCTTTAATAAGTTTGTCTTTACAACTTATTATCTGACAGCATATGAATTGCTTTTATCCAAGCAGTTCCCACAATCCAAATTTTCCAATGCATAGTGGTTCATTTTTTTACGAAAAATAGGCTGCTTTTTTTTTTTAATGTAACAGTATAACCACACGAAATGAACTTACCACCCACTGCTTTACTTCAGCATCATAGGTTTCCCCACTGTTTGGATATATTACAATCGGTTTTGTAGTCACCTGAAGATATTATGTCAATCAAGGATAAGTATTCTTCTATTCACAAAGACAAGTCCTACCATAACTACAATAATATTGTTTATTACCGCTAGCACATTTCCTTTCATGAAAGTAACACAACAAATCGAGGGAAAAAGGCATTACGTATATTTCAAAAGACAAATAATTTCACATTAATGTGAAAACTCTATCAGGGTATATAGATTAAGTACACGAGTCAAAGAGGTTTCCATTCATATAAGCCATCTTTATATATATATATATATATATATATATATATATATATATATATATATGATGGCTATTTACAATGTTATGCAACTCTAGTACGGTAGAAAATCTTGGCAACATGGATACCAGCATTTTTTAAACTGAAACTGCACTAGTTAATAATGACCTAAGAGAGGAGAGGTAAGATAGAAACAAAGTGTCATGAATTCATGACAAATGTAAAAATAGTTCAACAACATATTCAGTTTTCAACGAGAGAACCAAAGTATACCTTCTTAAGCAAAACAATCAGATCATGTATAAATCTAGGCGGGGTACAGTTAATTCCGACAGCAACAACTTTATTGCATGATTCAGCAATAGAGCCACAGTCCATTAAAGAATCACCGCTAACAACGTTCACTCCATCCTTAGAGTTAAAAGCAAACCATGCTGGAATTTTTATGTCCTCTTCTTCCAGAAGCTGAGCATAAGCCTGCTTAGTCAATAAGTATAGTTTGTTAAATTCAGGAGTCAAGACTATTATTCTGCAAGACTATTATTTACCTATAGATAACTGTTATTTTGTACTTGTTCCTGGAGTTTAATTGATTATATATGTATTAGTCAGTTACTCATCACAGTTACTTTAGTAGTGATTTTACCCTTTCACAAAAGCAATGGAAACCCCAGAATGGATATTTAATGCTTTCTCAATTTCCAGGGGTCTAGGCAAGCAAAGCATAATTTGGGCCCAATTTATTTTGGAAGAATATTTTAGAAACAGAAAGATTTCATGGAAGGAAATTTAAAAGATTTGACAAAAGCCGCATTTTGCGCTTTTCTGGATCCACAAATATACATTGAAAGACCATAGATGTCTTCAGACGGAAATTCAAATTATACATTAGAGCAAAACCGCTATGAATAGCAACAATACACAGAACAGAATGAATGATTAAAAAAAAAAACTGATTGACAATGAGGCTTCATTTTTTATAACAGAGAGATAAACCATATAAAGTAATATGTTTGTAAGTGACAATACTAATGTAATCATCTGAAAGTAAAGTTAACAGGTTCATATGTTTAATTTGAGGATTTTCCCTATATGCAGGATAGCTATCTTTTTATTTCTTTTGTTGAAAAATCATTAACTCAGAAAACATCCATCAAAATTTTATCCAATTGACATTTCATGGTAACATTGAAAAAAAAAAAAACAAATAATTCAAAATGAATTATACAAGTAAAACAGAATATCTTCAATCGTCAGAGAATTTCTTATCCCTTCCATTCATGATCAGGCTTTTAAGGTTATAGCACAAAAAAATAAGAGAGCCATTAGATAGTCATGATTATAAGCAAAATAAGTCCACTGGAATGAAGAGCCCTTCATTAAACTATTATTGAGATTCTATTGATCTTCACTCACCAATAAATAGTAAGGGTTAAGTTAGAAAAAGAATTATGCTGCATTAATTTTAAAGAGACAGGTTGTCCAGAGCTTTAGGGTACCTCGGCTTCAAGTTTATTGGGCACTGTTTCAAATGCAAGCAGGTCAGCACCTGAATCTGCTAAAATTTGAACTCTTCTCCGATGAAAATCTTTTAGAGTTTCTATCGTGATTGCATCACCATAATCCCCACTGTTAAGAGCAAAATATCAAGCAACAGTACAATAAAAAATAAATAATTTCTATTAGTGCTAATTACAGCAGCAAAAATTTATCAAACCCCAACCTTTCTAAAATGTTAAAAATCCTATGCAGAAAAAAGCTGAAAACTGTAATGTAAGGATGGGCCTAGAAATTCATTTGAGACATCATTCTGATATCGATCCATTTAAGAACAATAAAGCTTGATACAAAAGTAATCAATATAAATTACAAAGCTAAGCATTTGACCTTGGAAACACAGCATGTAATGATCATGAATATCAACTTGATTTTTAGTCAATAAATGGGCTATATGACAGATAAGAATTGCCCACAACACCACAAGTAAACAAAACCACCACCAATGCTAAACATTAGATCTTAATCATTTCACCTGTACTCTGATCCGTCGGCTAAATAAGCTCCATAGCTCCCCACTGACGCAGCAATGAGGATAGGCCGCTGTTTGAGGATTCTACCATCAGCGCCATCACCCGAACAGCATTCACATCCTTTATAGTACAACTCACGCGCCTCGCGAGCAATTTCAACACTCCTTCTGAGCATGGCTTCACCTTCTTCATCCGTATAGCCTTTGGCTTTAAAACCTTGAATTGTGGCCTGTACAGAATCAGCTACTTCAAGTTCAGCATTAAAACAAACAAGCAAAGAAATAAGACAACGCAAAACCAACTCACTTGATAAGATGCTGTGGTTATAATGTCAGCGCCATTTTCCAGATAATCAAGGTGCACCTGCTCCATTTAGTAACTCAATCATTGCCATGATTTGAAATTGAAAAAAAAAAAAAAAAAAAAAGATCGCTCAATTAAGCCAAGAACTTTAACTTGAAATAATTGTTGAACAAGTATAAAAGCAAAGATAAAATAAAAGCAGGTTCCTGAGATTGGCATAAATAAATCTATAAATGAAATCTCAGAGATTTATTTATTTAAAAAATACAACAACAAAAAATTTGAAGAGTCGAACGGTGCGTTTCAATTGAAACAGAGTGTACTTGGCGAATAAGATGAGGAGAGGAAAAGAGGCATTTGGCGCTCCATAAGGGATCGTTCAGGTCCGCGCCATGGCGCTCCAGCTCCGTCGCAAGTCCGCCGTCGATGACGGCGGTTCCGCCGCAATGACGGAGCAAATCTGCTACTAAAGACGACATTTTTACGCCGGAAAGAAGAACTGATTTTTTTACATATTTAATTAATTATTATTTATAGTTTGATTTCGAATCAAGGCCCAGCCCAATTTCCAAATGGATACTTCATGGCCCAATCTAACTACTAAACACTTAAGTCTCAACCGAATCACACCCAAAAATAAATAATCGTAATGCATAATTAGGCTAGTTTTATGGGGACTATATTCGACTTGAATAAAAATAGAATAAAAAATGCTTTATTTTTATTATCAGATAAACTTTTATTGAAAATACAAAGGGACCTCTAATAATATAGTAGGTTGTACTTATACATAAATTTTATAAAATACAATTTTTCTATCGACAATACTAACATGCACAGGTTAACCTTTTATCATTATCACTTTTAAACTTTTAACATGTTTTGTAGTTTGAATCATTGAACCATTGAGAGTAAGAGTTTAAAAGCTAAAAATTAAGAAAATATATTGTTTAAAAAATATTTAAATTTACTATTAAAATTAACCGTTTGCACTATTATGTCATTCATGTTGACAAAATGAACATTTTTTTTGTTTATTTTTAATTTCTACATCTATTTCATTTTGAATTTGATTAGTTGTAGGTCTTTTTTATGTTTCTTGACGCATATTAGGACCAAAACAAAAGTTTGGACCTATATAGATCAATAATTTTCATTTCGAACAGGATGGAAATGAAATTCATACACCTTATGAATGTTTTGTAACTTGTAAATTGGATCGATAGATGCAGCTAGTTGTAAATGACAAGAGGAACAAACAACAATAACATGAGAACGATGGAGTTTAAGAACTTGAAATTTTCCACAATCACACCACCATTGATTTAATTAAATGTGTAGCTTATTAATCTTCGACGATGGTGAAAATTAGATTGATCTTGAATGTCAAACTCATAATTATCTCGATTGTACCTTTGAAAAAGACACATTCGAGCACGTTGTTCGTTTTCATTAAGTAGTGTAGTAATATGTTATGGATACTCGTGTCCAACTTGTAAAATGTATTTTGCTTTCATACCTCTTTCTATAAATCAAGATTTAGTTTTTTCAAAAGTTGTTTTTAATAAGACAGATATAGGTAAAGTCTGTGTTCCTTTGAGAACAGAATGCATGGATTCAACAAGATTTGTTGTCATATGTCTATGTCACTTCCCTCCATCATAAGCTTGAGTTTATTTCTCCAACGAAATCTCATCTAACCAGGACATTTGTTGTTCAAAATCAGACCCTTAAAGCAAAAAACTTTGTTAAAAGTTTGAGTTGTTTCATCTCTATGTCATGCACAAAAAAAAATATAATTTCAAACATATGTTATTTGGAAAAAAAAATTGTGTAGTTTAGAAGATGTTACCTAAATTGATGATTTTTTTTTTCAAATATTGAAGTTTGAGGCAATATGACGAATATAATACATTGAGGTGAGATTATTTCAATCAAAATCTTTTGATTATAAAGCTGATAATATTCATTTGTCTCTGTCTGTTATGATTCATAAATTATTTTGAGACGTTACGTAATGTCTTATAAGTAGTTGCAAGAATCATACCAATGTCTATTTCATTTCACCTTTCATAATTACAAATGCAAGTGGAATATGTTTTTATTGTCATCTAGTGAAGTTGCAATCAATAATGTAACATATTTTCCTGTTAGTCTTCTATACATGGCTTAAATGACCAAAAGGTATGCTCTTATGTAAATGATAGACTATGGACACTATGCACCGAATGAGGAAAACAAACGTACTAAACAATTATATTAGGATTATTATCTTCAACAACTTGCAACCACCTTGGAAGATCATTGTATGACTCGTCCCAATATCCAAATGTCACGATAAACACCTTTTGTTTCTCCGTCCATGTTTTTCTATAAATAACTATATAATCATGTTTGTCTTTGACTTATGCAATCAAAGTTTTAATAGAAACAAAGAGATTTGTTTTAACTAAATCATATATAATGTTAGCAATGATAGAATAGTCTAAGTTTTGATGATTTAGATTTAACATTGTACTCAAACATGTATGAGCACTTCAATTTTCTTAATCTCCCATTGAGTATGAATTTTATTGAATGAAACATAAACTCTCCATTGACACTCATTGTCATAATGTATACAATGAGCAATATATTTGTCAGCTTTAGACTCAACAACAGAAAACATGTATCCCTCATCAATATAAAATTATTTGATTGTACTTACTATTGTCTGTTTTGACGAAAAGCACCGCGACATTCCCAAATATTGTTTTCATTTGAATGGGTTAAGTAATTAGACGATTGTCCAACTTATAACATGATATCATCATTCAAATACATTACAACAAAGAAAAATTATCTTCTTCATTGATGAGCACATTTTATCAATAACTTTATTAATATAATTTATATATATTTAATGTATTTTCTTAATTAATTAATAGTTAATATAATTTTTGTAAGAAGGAAATAAAAATATCTTAATATAAATTATTACTTAAAATATATATTTTAACTAATTATTTGTTTTCTTTTGTAGGAATGATAAATTAAAGAAATTATAAAAGCAAAATCAAATGGAATTCGTCGAGCGCTTTTGAACCTGCTCTACGGAATCGGTTGAGAGAGTTTCTTATCTGAAAATTAGCAATTTGTTGAGCATTTTTTATCTGTTAAGCGTTTTCTTATCCGCTTAGCGCTTTTTGATTTGATGAGCAAAATCTGTCAAAGCTTATGTAACTAATTTAATTATAAATCCATTGAGCGCTTTTTAATCCGCTAAGCGGATTCATCGAATTTCATTTATGTAGAATGTTGTTGGGTTCTATTATGTAATTATGGGTCTCAAATGTGTATTGAACATTTTGTATACCTGTGTTGTTGTATAGATAAAGTGCAAAAAAACATAAGTTAAGTTTGAGTCACAAATCATTTTCAGATTTCTCTAGTTTAGTTCTCAAGTTTTGTAGTTTTCAGTGATGTTTAGTTTCCACATATGCTCATGGAGTTTTTTGTATTGTGAAGTTTATTAATTTAAGTTCTCCTTGATCAGATTTGTTTCTTTCTCTCTTTAATATTATGTTTTACTTTTTGTTTCATCTTCTACTTCATCTTCCATTCCATTTCTTTACTTGTTCTCATGTTATTTATCTCTTAATCATGTTCTAATTCGATTTTGTTGTTGATTCACCGATTAAAACTTGTTTTCTATGGTTTAGATTTAATTCGTAATGATTCTAACCGATTATAATTCATTACAATGAATGTAATTGAGATAATTTGATTTAATGTCTCTTTTACATCATAATTCAATTTCTAGATTTAAGTGATTGTTTGATTTAGAATTGAGTTGTGAATACGCATTTCAAATGGATCGTAATTTATTGGAACTGTTGTAGATTTATTTTTGTGATTGCAAAACAATTCCATAAAAATCAATGATAATTATAAAAATAAGTTTATGATTGGAGAATCAACACAATTTCTTATCTTCACTGTGCTTAATATACAACTTTCATAAATTAGATTTAAATACTTACTTTAAATGCTTTCATAGTTTAAGTTTAATGTTTTCATTTACATGTTTTGATTTACTGTTTTTAATAGATTAGGTTTAATGCATTCAATTTACTTTTCTGCATTCTAAAATCATAAAACTCCCTTATTTCCTAACTTTTGATATTGAAAATCAAAATCAAAATTAAAACAAAACAAAACAATTCTCCTCTATGATACAATCTAGGTTAGTCCTATCACTATATTATTTTAATTGTGAAATTCTTTAATGAGATCTAGGCGACAATATTAACTTCATTATTCATCAAGTCTTTGACAATATCTTGAATAATAGGTCATCAACTGTCATGAATGAGCTACCAACTTGAAATCTGTTTATCTATTAAAAAAAAGAAAAATTGATTAAAAAATATACTCAAATAGTGTAAAGTATATCAACTAAAATAAACCAACTAAATTTAAATAAAAATTTCAATTAAAATAAGTAAATATATATACCTTTAAAAATTTAACTTCAAGAAACAACTATGATTACAATAGAAATTGTTGTGAGTGGATTCGAAATAATCAAGACATATTTATAGTTGTCCAATTGCAATGAAAATGGTTGTGATGCTTACTATGCACTTTGTCATGTCTAATAACATATTATTTATATCTACAACACTAAATCAACTATATTTTAGGCTACTATTAACTATTCCCGTGTCCCATAACACACAAAAAACTTGTGGGAGATAACCTGTTGAACAAAAATTGTGCAACGTTGCACGAGTTCAATTAAAGGGCCAATTCAACTTGTGCTACCAAAAACAAGTATTGTACAAGCCTAAAATCGTGCATTGAAGCACGAGTTCAGTGTGGCACATGCAAAAATCATGCATTGTAGTTTGCACATGGAACATAAATGGGAGAGTCTTCAGGAATATTACTAAAAACAATAAGGAGTATGCTTTGCATTCAATTTTTATATTGAGTATGCTATTGAAATTTTATCACCTAGCAAGTTGTTGGTGTCCAGTGGTGGACCTTCTTGGGAAGCTGAAGGGGGTCGTGACCTCTTAAAGTTTTGTAACTCATATAATTTATGATTTTGGTGCCTTCAAACTTAATGGTAATTTAATATAATTAGTTATATATTTATAATTTTATCCTCTTAGCCTCCCCTTAGTTTTGTAACTCTTATATAATTTATAATTTTGACCCCCTAAACTTAATGATCATTTAATATATTTACTTATATATTTACAATTTTATCCCCTCATCCTTTCATCTTCTTCCACCTTTTTATATTTATTAATAATATGATATTTTCCCCCTCCACCCCAAAATCAATGGCCAGTGCCTATAAATAGACCACTCCTTTACGTTCATCTTCATCCTTCAACTCCTTTAGCAGTTATTCTATACAATTTTCATCCCTCACCTCTTTCAGAAGTTATTCTATATAGTTTTAATATTGTCTCTATTCTTTCTTTGT